TCGTCGTATTTCTCTGCTGGAGCTTGGGAGGAGACGGCGTGGCGTCCTGACGAGGTGTCGCCCCGCGCTGACGGGGAGCCCGGCATCCTGACGCAACGTGGCCTTGCAGGCCACAGTTGTAGCAGCGTGTGAGCGCCCCAGATGACCTGGGCTGCTCCTGGCGGCTCGGTCCATTCCGAGCCGGCGGTGCCGCCGATCTCCATTCCCCTCGCCGCTCCACCCCGCAGACCTCCTCCGATGGGAGGGCGGTGGCCGCCATGGCATGGCCGGCCGCCCCCTTTGCCGCCTTTCGGCGCAGGGACCGCAAGCCCCCGTGGATGTGGCGCGCGACCAGCAGGGACGACATCTCCGCGTCGTCCTGAGCCAGGACGTTGACGTCCAGCTCGTCAGCGAGTAGCAGCAGCTTCTCAGCCACCATGGCATCCACTCCTTCCTCGTCCATCCTTGGGAAAGCAGCCTTCGCCAGAGCCAGGAGAGCCGTCCGGAAGGCCAGGGGTGACTCGTTGGCGCCCCGACTCCGATCGTGGAACAGCTGCCTGCAGTCCAAAGGCGGCCCATAGACGGCTGACAGCAGCTGCAACGCCAGGTGTAGAGTAGCGCGCTTTTCCCTCGGCGCCGAGGTGAGAGTAGCCAGGGCGTCGTTGTCCAGCATCGCTGGCAGCGCGCGTAGAGCCTCGGCGTCTGACCAGTTCGCCATCTCTTGATGAGCGATGAACCGCCTCTTGAAGCCGCCCCAGTCTCCGTCAGCGCCGACGAATTCTTTAAGAGGCGGCAGACGCTGCTGTAAGGCGGCGTCCGTGGCCGCAGAACGCTCTCCGTCGCTCCCCGCCGATGATACAGTGTGGGCGGGCCGTGAGCATGGCATCGCCGGTCGCTCCGATGTTGACGCGCCAGCCGGCGTTGATGATGTCACGGCTTGTGCTTGGCGCTCAGCAGACACGTGACGCGGGCCGGCCCCGCCCACCGCTCGTACTGTAGAGATGGCGGGAAATTTGACCGCGAGCCGCGTCGGGGTGGCGGGAAACGTCGCCCCGCGCCGGCTGCCGTCGTCGACCCGCGCTGCTCCTCCAGCCCCCAGCCGCGTGATCTCCTCCAACGCGGCGGCCGCGGCGTAGAGCAGGTCCGCCAGGCGGGAGTGGGCCAGCCGGAGTCCTTCGGCCGACGCATCCCCCTCCCCCTGTCGTAGCGGCGCGGGCGTACTCGGCCCCGGCTGCTCCGATTCGACCCCGGCCATCTCTGGTGGTGATTCGGCCGCGGCGTCTTCCATCTCCGACTCCCTGGTACGTGTCGTCCCTCGTGTGTCCATCGTTGGACGTTTACTTCTGACCCCAGATGTAGTAAGTATATATGGAGGCTTGACGACAGGATCGGAGGCACACTTATTTATTACACCAACACAGTTATTACAGGTCACTTGGCTACAGGGATTTCTCGACAGCTAACCCCTCTAGCCTATACCAACTCCTCCACTACGGGACTAGGGGAGGCTATCTGTCCCAGCTTGGTTAAGCTGGGATCCCGGCTCCCTGAGTCACCAGACCAGCTTCGTCTGGGCTCTCGGGGCCACGCCACCGGCTTGCCCTGGTCGGCCCTTAGAAGGACAGCGAGCCAGGGGAGCTCCGGGGCCTATACTAGCAGGTCTTCGTTCTTCTCTGGTTAAAGCTGAGTCCCGACTCCCGAGCCTTTCGGCTCATCACCTTTTATAGGACTTGCCCCCAAGGGGGGGCCCGTGGGGGATGTACATGCGGACGTCGGTGCGAGCGCCACCCTTGTATACGGCCGTAACCCCGCCCCTTGTGTTTGTTGGCCATCCGTGGCCATGCATAATCACACGACACCTTTCGTAGCCATGCGCAATTACACCTCTACAATATCATACCAGACCGACACTTACCGGGCTATTATGGACACCTAGGAGCATCAAGTGTGTGTTACAGATGACAGGCGAATGAATGGTTAGCGGGCGGTTCAACTATATGGTACATCCTGGTGTCAAGATGTGGGCTCACATGCACCGTTCCACCACTACATAGTCCACCAGATGTGCTTGCCTTGACTCGGTATGCATTTAAGGAGGTTGTATGACAGAACGTGTTGGTGATTACAAATCTGCGGGCCTCAGAAATCGAGCAGCCTCCTGCCGATATTACTGAGCTGATCTGAACAATGCCTTCCAAGTACTGTACTCCCATTCAAGTGCGAGCATCATGACCCACTCAGGAATTAAAGTCACCCAGCAAGAGGGCTATCCTGAGCGGTCCGTTGAGCCTAGCCTGCAACCACCACTAACTATTCCTCACCTCCTGTTAATAAGGAAGGCGAGCCCACAAAAAGCTGGGACTCACAGCCTCCCCGGTAGCGCATCGCCACGTTCTCACACCCTCTTCATTCTTATATTTAAAACTAGCTTTACTTCGCCCGGGACTTGGATTCTTGTCTTGGATGAATACACGGCATACGCGGAGGGTGGGGGGGGGGAGGTGCGTGACGTCAGCAGGCACACTGCGTGACGCTGCCGCATGCGGGTGGCATGACAGATGTGACGTCACAGCTCACTTTCCGTGCAAAATATATCCATTATTGCGCCCCCCCCTCCCCCCCAAAATACAAAAGTCTATTTTGATACTTTTTGCATTGTGTACAGTCAGGAAGCTACCCACATGCCAAATTTCAAGTTGCATGTTGGGAAGTATGCTAAACATTTTGAACAGACACACATATTCACAAATTTCCCTTTTATATACTGTATATAGATAGATAGGAGATAGGTAACAACCACTTCCTGTTGTTTAACATTATCCTCCGCTGCGTAGAAGAATGTCCATCCCTCGCGGCGGCAGGGGCCATAACCAGCCCATCACACCTCCCGGGGGCGGCTAAGTGTCCTAACGGTGTCGCGTTCGCCGCTTGTCGCAGCTGTTCACAGTTCGAATCCAGAGGCCTCCCTGATTAATACTGTGGGTGTTTGTGAACCGTGAAAATGCGCACCGTCTGCATCACAGCAGACGTTAAGGATGCCGTGACGTACTTCGCAAGAGTAGGTCGTTGCGAGCCGGCGTCATGGGGTCAAATTAGTCAAGTAAAAAAAATACTAAATTAGGATTATACATTGCAAGTATCCTCCACACACCCCCCACCCTCTACTGGCCGAGCTCACGGCATTGGCAATTGATGGCGCCAATTTATGGCTGCGGTCCAGCTTGTATCTGATTTCCTACCCGAACGAGCCAGATGGGATGAATGGTCCACTCTTAACAGTAATCTTTCTGATGTTCTGCATCCCACAAAAATCGAGGTGCTTTTGGTCCAGCTCCTGACAGAGGAATTACAGCATCTCCTCCTCCAGCGACGTTCAGGCAATCCGTGTGGCCAGCCATAGCAACTCCCTGTTGTTGTTGTTTCTGGAAGCCCCACCACCAAACAGGGGTTGTCTCGGGTGCGTCAAGGATGCGTGTACCCTCGGGGCGTTCGGCACACTCTTTGATCTTCTCTCCGTGGTCCTTTAGCGATTCAATGTAAGGCGGAGGTGTTACAATCATCTCGCACCGTATTGGAGCCCCGTCTGCCACTGTGGCACAAATGAGCGTGCAATGAGCGCAGCTAAAAGTATTGCTGCTATTTCCCCAGTGTACATTTTCACAACATACCACAGTACTGTATTACCATGTGGCACCAGAATGAGGCGGGGTTGTTTTGCATAATGCACGCAGGCAAACACAAACTGCACCCAATCGATTGACCCTTAACTTTGACCTACATTGTGACGAAGCCTGTGAACGCTACGCAGGTGAAATGGTTCTCAGTGTGTCAGAATGTCATCGATACCTTGAGGCTTACACGCAGTTAAAAATGCAGACGTGAATTGACGACTAACTTGTGACGTGGCCAGAGGACAGCGGTGTGAAACATTGATAATTGAACCGATTTGTTTTAACCTTTGAGTGTTCCTCCCTCGTATGCACGGTGGCTTTTCTCCAGGTGCTCTGGCTCCCTCCCAATCAAAGCAAACACAAATTCGGAAGGGAATTGTAAAATAAACCACCCTGCACATACCAATTGCTATTGCATACAACAGTCATACTATCTGCACTATTATTAAAGATCCCCCGTATAGCCTAAACAGACTGTCGGGGCAAGTGCTGTTTGCGAGCACCTATGAAGGCCGGCACGTCACACACGGAGGGTGGATGGCCAGCGCCACGCCCGACCGCCTTTGTCTCTCTCGTATTCATTTGAGGTTGAGTCGACCTAGGGGAGGCCCAAGTCCGGTTCAAATATTCGCCACTGTTACTGTACCGAACACACATAGACAAATACGTTTTCGAACTTTGTGCAAAGACATCCATCTGCATCGACGGTTCTCAAGAGCGCTGTGAGTTTGACATTCTGAGCTCAGGGCAATCTGGTTAGGGGTCGGCTTAGACCATCATCCTTGTGAGGCCGATCAAATAAATAAAGCATTGAGTGATTGTCCTCTGGTTTAACTACATTACTCGCGCAATAATTAAGATATACTGGGCCATACAGCATATTAAAGTCGATCACTGAGGGTCAATAAAACGAATGCGACTTGACCCCGACTGTAGGAATAGAGAACACGTGGCGTTTCAAACGCAACCTGTTACTCATTAGGATCACGACAACACCCCCAGACTAACCTGAGCAGGGGAGACACACTGACATTTGACTTGATCATGAAAGTCAAACAAATGTCCCGCACTTCGAAGCGGTTCTGCTGTTCTTGGACGGCCTGGGGGGGGGCAGGGGACAGAGAGGAAGAGGAGCCGGACTCAGATGAGCCTCATCCCCCCACCGCCTGCCCCACCCCTCCCTGGCCCGCGGCGGGGGAGTGCTGTGCGCGTGTGTGCGTGCGTGCATGTGGGTGTGTGTGTGTGCGTGTGTGTGTGTGCGTGCATGTGGGTGTGTGTGCGTGCGTGTGTGTGCGTGTGTGTGTGTGCGTGCATGTGTGTGTGTGTGCGTGCGTGTGGGTGTGTGTGTAGGCTTTCCCCAGGCCGGCCCCCACCCGCGTCGGACCGTAGCGCGCATTGCCGACACGGCATGCGGCGCGCGCACACCGGGGCCAGCGCATGCGACATGGGAAACCATCCAAGTGTTTCGCAACAACCGCACGCACTTATAGGGCTGCTCTCCTCTCTCAGCATGCATTTGGACCCATGCTCTGACAGTATATATCTCCAGCAGACAGCAGCAGCAGCAGCAGAAAGGGTACACGCTCTATGCCCAGCACAATTCATCGGTGCAGCCAACTGTGCACATTACGCACCGCCGTACAGAGTGCCCGCAGCCTCGCAGAGAGACACTTCGTGCAGAGCACGCAGGCAGACATGCGGGCGGTGAGCATCCACGTGTGCGCGGCGGGACTGCCTCTGGGGCTGCTGCTGCTACTGCCACTGGCCACCACGTTGGCCGAGGGATCTCCCGTGGCAGCGCCATCCCATCCGGCCAGGTTTTGGTTGGGACGCGAAACGCACGCGAGGCACCACGAGGGCGACCGGAGCAAGTCGAGCGGCGAGGCGCGCCACAGGAAGGCGGAGTGCGCCGCCTGCGCCACGGCGTCGCTGCACCTCTCCGACTCGGAGCAAGGGGAGCAGCTCCTCGTGGAGGCGGTGAAGCGCCACATCCTGGACAAGCTGGGGCTCAAGGAGCGGCCCAACATCACGCACCCCGTGCCGCGCTCCGCGCTGCTCGCCGCGCTCAACGGGCTGCGCTTGCAGGAGGAGAACTGGGACGAGCGGCGCAACGAGGGCGACAGGGCGGCGCACGACTCCTCGGAGATCATCAGCTTCGCCGAGTTCGGTGCGCACGCGCACTCTCTCACTCTCTCACTCACTCGCTCGAGCGCGCTTTCACCCACTATCACACTTACTACGACGCGTGCGGTGCGCTCCCACGCGCGTGCATGCACACTTACTCTTACTCCCACACACATGCATGCACACTTACTCTTACTCCCACGCGCGTGCATGCACTCTTACTCTTACTCCCAAACACGTGCATGCACTCTTACTGTTACTCCCTTGCGCGTGCATGTACTCTTACTCTTACTCCCAAACACGTGCATGCACTCTTACTCTTACTCCCACACACGTGCATGCACTCTTACTCTTACTCCCACACACGTGCATGCACTCTTACTCTTACTCCCAAACACGTGCATGCACTCTTACTCTTACTCCCACACACGTGCATGCACTCTTACTCTTACTCCCATACACGTGCATGCACTCTTACTGTTACTCCCACGCGCGTGCATGCACTCTTACTCATACTCCCACGCACGTGCATGTGCTTCCACGCACGTGCATACACTCTCACTCTTGTTCTCACGCACGTACATGCGCTCTCACTCTCCCGTAATGTCACGCGCGTGCACGCGCTCTCACACTTACTCTCCCACACGCGCATGCACAAGCACGCACGTGCAAGCTCTCTCGTCCCCGCCCATGACCACTCACACCTGTACATCGCCTCTCACATCCGTGCACCCGCGGATTACGGGCTGTTGGCAAATAAATAAACAAACATGACGTAATTCATCTTTTAGTTTGCACGATCAGTGTCTCCACGCTCGAACGTTCATTGGGCAATGCTCATAAATTTCCATCGCAGGCTGCAAATTCCACGTTTCGAAAGCCGGAACAGTCTATCCCTTCGGCAACTCCTGATGAGTACTCCTGAAGTCAAGCTATGTCCAAGTGGACATCTGCTCATATGAGCAATGGGTATGGTGTTTACTCTGAACAGGACATTGTAATTCCACCTTACCATGGCGGGAACCAGTCTGGCCATTGGATGAATGCCGATTAGGCGTGCTCGATTTTTAAACTCCCCACAGATTTTGTTCGTGTTATCTTCGAGTATGGGATGATGCCGTGGTGTGATGTTTAGCACCCTGGACCTGTAAACTAATTTCTGTAGAACTGCTTTTTGTCTTTAGTTTTGTTGTCCTCCCCCCCCCCCCGAACCTCCGATTAGCTCGGTTGGCTGCGTAGAAGTTCAACATACGTACACATACATGCCATTCGCGGTCACCGGTTCGATGTTCTGCCGCGGCAGTTAAAACAATGGTGACAATTGAACATCATAATGTCCGTGATGCAGTCATTTTTAGCCTGCCGATGGTCGGCGATGCGGCAATCGACTCATCTCGACGAGCTGTACACGATGGACTATTCAGAGTTGAAATTTTCGATAACGGGTTTTTTTAATGCGAATGTTTGGCGTTTCGACATTACGGAGTAGCACTGATTTCGGATTAATTGGTTACCCCAGTCGCAGAGTTAAGTACACCCCTGGAAAAAAAAGTATCTCAGAAATACAAGATTTAATTGCCTCAGACATGTTGTATTATTTGCTACCCCGGGGTACCGCCATAAGGATCAGTTTCTCAATTCCCCCCCCTCCCCACCCCCAGCAGGGTCGTATAAATGGGTATACCACAGTTAGTTGCTCGGCACATGGCAGCTGGTGCGGCAAAGTGTGGGGACTCCAACCTCTTCCAAGACGTCTGGCCAGCATGGAAGAGTAGGCCAAAAATATACATTGTAGAGCTTTCTCAAGCGAAGGCCCTTTTGTCGGCAGTGACGTGAGCAAGCAAGTGCAGGGATGCACCTTGACCTTAAATGGTTTTTTTAATCTCAGAAAGTTTTTTTTTCTTCCTCTGGGCACTCCAGTTTCAATGAATTGCCCACACATTTCTAGTGGAACCCTCATGAAAATGAGTCTTGAGAATCTGCGTTGCATTGCTTAAAAAACTCCATGTGCCTTGCATTCCTGCATTATGAAATTGCTCGGCTGAGTATCACTATTTTAATTGAAAAAATGTGCATCCGCGGCATTGAACAATAGCTACCCCGAATTGACATAGCTACACTAATAGACATCACATTTTGGAGAGAAACATCATTCTCTTGACACCCGTGTGATTGCAATGTAACGGATGTCACGAGCACAGACGGAAATGCCCGTGCGACGTGACTGGGTGTCCTGGTGGCAATTATGGTGCATTTCTCTGGTGGCATTTCCCTATTACACAATGCCAGCGAATTGTGACACATCTGAGTAAGGCATATTCGTGGAAGTTTTAATTTTGCTGAATGTGTGTTTCGTGGAATGACTTACACGTTGGTATTTATTTCGCAATTAATTAATTGGGTTCATTAACAAACACGATTACCATACTTCCTTGTACCTTGGGGTGCCTGGTCACGAGTTACGATAAAAAATGATCTCGACAGGACTGACATAGAAACCGCTGTGGGCGTGGGATGGGGGCTCGAGGGATCACGCACTGCACAGGCGCAGCTTCCCATCACATGTCATCACCAGAAATCAGCCGTGATCTCATTTTGTTCATCACGGTTGCTGAGAACAGGACCTGAGGCCAAGAATGCCAAGCAGGCAGCAACAACCAGCACGATTCCGGTTGTAACAGATAAGAGTCGATACGCTTCTTGAATCGAGCAAGGTTAATGTGAGAATTTCCATTTCAAGCTTTCGTGACTGCAGGGATTCATCTTCTTGGTTCTTTCGGTAAAGTCACGTAGAAGGGAAATAATAAAATAATAAAAATAATAACAATAAAACATAATAAATAATATGATAAATTGTACTATATTTTTATTATTATATTATTTTATTATGTTTTATTTTTATTATTTTATTATTTCCCTTCTACATGACTTTACCAAAACAACCAAGAAGATGAATGTGAGAACTTGAGAAAAGAGATGATGATGATGGTAGTGGGAGGGAATTGCCAAGTCGAGACGTGCAAGGAAAGAAGGCGTTGTGACCTGCAGTGTGGTGCGTGAACACAGTCGGGATGGGAATGGGCAGTCAGTCTGCTCGACCCAGTCCTCAACACGGGTGGAGGAATCAATGAGTGAAGTTGATGGGAGCATTAACCATGGGATTAACGATAGAATGTAACTGACCGCCGGTGAGCGAGTAGCTGGAGTGAATCAGTGAGTGCTGGATCTGTCCACGGCTGGCTGAAGGCCTCCCCAATTGCATGAAGGGTCAGCATACATTTTAGAAAGGGAGTGAGACTAGGGGATACACTTCCACCAAAGTTACCCATGGTACGTGGCCTGACACAAATTCCATTACTTTAAGCAATAAACCCACAGTCGTGGCAGTGATGACAGACGTCCTCTGTGGTCTCTGACAAGGCTGAGCGAAGTCATCCAAGATATAGCGCATGCAAAACAATGGACGTTCATTCTTTGTGCGACTTTGGTTTAAAATAGCCGTATTTTAAGCAGATTTGTTCTTGCTTAAATACTTTTTCTTCATATTTGTTGAACACTGCAACATTTAATAATTTATCTTGTGCAATGTCGAGGAACATTCTCAGAGGTTATAGAATCGCTGAGAGACACTGACAATTTTTTGTTACGCATCTTTATTACGATCCTCATGGATCACCATTCACGTAGCGACTTCAAATCTTCAACCAACGAGAACACAGACAGAAGAAACAATCCGTAAAACACACTCAGAGAGTGTCCACGCTCAAACAAGCATGTCCGATGGCCGTCATGAACCAGTGGTGGAAATACCACATTCCTATGGCAAGGGCCCTAGAAAACTCACTGTGAGCTCTTGAAAAGGCGCCACTCAGGATATCCACCCTGGAAGGCTGCCGACGAGCTGATTCAACCCCCTGAGTGTGATTGGAACTCACGATTTTCCAAATACGAGTCAGGTGTTCGACCACACACCACCTGGCACAAGTAATGTGTTTGTGTGCAAGCAAAGGCATCGCCCTGGGAAATTTGTTGCGTTGCACTAAAGTCACCACCACGATCATCGTGTTTCAACTGACGTATCCAGCTCAGCTTGAATGACAATCTGAAGGTCCACCGAAGTCAACTCCTGTTCAAGGTTGACAAACCGAGGTTCATTTCGTCGGAAGCCGAAAATTGGTGTCCTTTTATAGGAATCGGTCTCAGCCATAGAAATGTGGACATTTCACGACTGATTCAGAACCACTACAGTCAACGAGCGCCTCCCCATTGTTCATTTGAGCTATGAAAGACGCTCTGGGTCAAACTTACATCCGTGAAACACCGCCGTTGTGATGGAGACGTGAGCGCAATATCACCAAAAGAACACACGCAGGCGAACGAGCCACACGCACGTCACAGCAACACGTGGCTCCGTTGCGGCGTTGCGTCTGACTTCATGCAATGTGCGTTTCCCTGCAGACGGCGGCCACTCATCGGAGATCCACTTTGCGCTCTCCAAGTCGGGCGAGCAGAGGCCTCCTGTGCTGCGCGCAGACCTGTGGCTCTACGTGCACACGGGCAACGGCGGCGCAAGCGGCGCAAGCGGCAACGGCACCGCCACCTTCCACGTGCGCGAGCGCCACGGTGCCGGCACCGCCGCCGTGCAGCGTCGCGTGGCGGTCTCCAGCCGGAGCCACTGGACCACCTTCCCGCTCACGAAGGCCGTGCAGGCGGCGCTGTCCCGGGGCGCGGCGGGCCTGAGCGTGCGCGTGACGTGCGACGGCTGCCAGGGGGCCGGCGGGGTGAGGGCCACCCTGGGTCCGCGGTGGGGCGACTCGCCCGACTCGGACTACCGGCCCTTCCTGCTGCTGCACTTGGGCTCGGACGCGGCACACCGCGTGAGCAGGCGGGACCTGCAGTGCGACGACCGCTCCGACCTGTGCTGCCTGCACCGCTTCTTCGTGGACTTCCACAAGATCGGCTGGAACGACTGGATCATCCAGCCGAGCGGCTACCAGAGCAACTTCTGCCTGGGCAAGTGCCCGCTCTACATGGCCGGCACGCCCGGGGCATCCGCGTCCTTCCACAACGCCATCATCAACCAGTACAGGCTGCGCGGAGTGGAGCCCATGGCCTCGAAGAACCCGTGCTGCGTGCCCACTCGCCTCACCTCCATGTCGATGCTGTACCTGGACAAGCAGAACAACATCATCAAGAAGGACGTGCCCGACATGGTGGTGGAAGAATGCGGCTGCGCGTAGCGGCGCCGACTCGTTTCTTCTTTTCTTTGACGCGAGAGACTGCGACGCCGCTCTGGGCACGTGGAGAGCGAAGCGGCGGCTTCATCACGTTGGGTGGCGGGGCACCCACGCGTGCCCGCACCCCGTGGCAGTGACCCCCATGGGTGGGATCTCACAACAGGGACCCCTACTCCTAGGACCCTACGGGTGGGATCTGATGGGTGGAACTCGGCTGAATGAACCCCACGTCACCGGCACTGCACCTGGACTGTGCTCTGAACCAAGGGTTTTTTGGCTGCGTGCATCACTTAAAGGAAGGACGCAAACTATAAAGCAAACGGCTCTTATCTTGTAGACGCAAGTGCACACCCAGGCTGCATGCCACGCATCCCCAGCGCAAGCACAAAGTTTCGTTCGCGGAAATAAATTCCGACAAAGTGACTTTCCGGCAGCACATTCACAGCACTCGAGCGTTTTTCGCCGAAGTGATGTGGGGTCATCAAACGTCTAGAATTCACTACACGAGAAGAGCACTCTGTAAACGTTACCATAAGTTACGTTTTGATCATCAATATAGTTGCAGGCCACGGTCGAACAGCCAGCGATGCGTCGCCTTGGGCAGCCGTTTGACAAATCCAATGGCCGCGTTGTTTGGGTTGTGTTGTCTGTCTAGGCTGAGCCACATTCGAGCTGATAACACTTGAAAACATTTGCAACATTTAGCACCGATGGAAATGTTGAATATTGTAGATGGTTGCTTTTTTGTAACTTATGCATTTGTCCTTCTAGTAACTTTAGTTGTTCGGTTATAGCAGAGCGCTAGCTCACTTCAGCCACCTTGTACAGGCCGTATTTAAAAGAGAGCAATGTTTGGATTCATTGAAAATGAACACATACTTCGCTACTTTGTATTTCTTGCTAAGTATATATTACAATTTTCAAATGCGTAAGTACAAGATTGTTTTTATATAACTATATATATGTAATAACTTTGTTCATAACGTTGACACCATGGCACTTGTGCGTGACAACAATGTGTAAAACATCTTACCACGTGCTCACACCAGCAAGCCGCCTACACAATGCAAGTTTGTTATTTTGCTTTTGTGGGCATTTTACACTTAAGCGTCTATACTTGATCACGTGTATCGCACAATATTTAAATAAAAAAAAGAAAGATGTACTGTTCACTCGAGATTGTGTTTATTGGTACGCACAGATATATTACACGTCTTCTCATTGCTTGGATACAGATGCTGAATATTACTGGTAGGAACCTCCTGGTTCCACCAGCCTACGGGGGATTATTGTGTCCGTCCATCCGTCGTGAATCCAAAAATGGGAGGGGTGGGGCTGGGTGGAGAGGGGAGGGTGGGGAGGGGCTAGGTGGGGAAGGAGGGGCTGGGTGGGGAGGGGAGGGTGGGGAGGGGCTGGGTGGGGAGGGTGGGGCTGGGTGGGGAGGGGAGGATGGGGAGGGGCTGGGTGGGGAGGGGCTGGGTGGGGTGGGGCTGGGTGGGGTGGGGCTGGGTGGGGAGGGTGCGGAGGGGCTGGGTGGGGAGGGTGGGGTGGGGGGGTGGGGGGGGTGGGAGGGGTGGGGCTGGGTGGGGAGGGGCTGGTCACCCCGTGGTGCCCTTATAAAACTCAACGTTTAACCTACTCACGCCGGCTTGTGCCCACCCTCACAGTCGGGCATGTTTGCGGAATACACCACGCCGCCGTTGACCCTGGCCATTGACCGAGCACCTCAACGTTCCTACCAGCTCCCTCCGCAGGAATGTGTTCATTTGCTGACAAGCTCGCAGCCCTATAAAAACGCACCATGCCTCCCGCACAGGCCCATATTCCTCCTGTAACAAACAAGGGCAAATCCTGAAGCGACGGCCAACCTTTAACCTATTTTAGGGTGACCGCAACTATCAAAACTCTAAATAAATGCTCAATAAATGGAAAAATATGTAATTCTGGATAATGGATGAAACAATCATGAGGTTATACTCTTTGGTTCTTTCGGTAAAGTCACGGAGGTATAAAATAAAATAAATCACGACGTTTCGGGCGCAACACAAGCGTCCATCATCAGGTGAGAAAGCATGGTCTGCTGCTGAGGCAGACTGTTTTAAAAGGTTGATGGGCGCTTGTGTTGCGCCCGAAACGCCGTGATTTATTTTATTTTCTACCGACGTGACTTTACCGAAAGAACCAAATACTATGGATTCCTGCAGTCACGAAGGCTTCAAATCAAGAATCATGAGGTTAATTGTACTTGTTGTGGAATTAGTCAGTCTCCCAAGCACCAAATGGGTCTTCTTGATTTCCTAAAATTTTGAAGCGTCTGATGCAAATTTCAATTTTCTGTGAAGGTATTTTACTCGCTGGTACTCATGCACAGTATTATTTAAAAAGAGCAACACCTGCTTACCACCAGCCCTGACCAAAAGTAACCGACAAGTTAGACTGAGACATGTCTGAACAGTGGTGAAGGGGGGGGGGACAGATGTTGGCATTTCTGCCTACAAAATAAATGTATTTTAGGGGGGCTGGGAGAGTGAAAAAACATTTTGGGGGTGGGGGTCGACGATTTTTGGTAACCTGTTGAATCAACTTTTTTAACCCGCACACCTGGGGGAGTCCACTTTCTATAATTTTAGTTTCAGGCCTTCTGAAAGTCTCTCACATTTTAGTTGATGGACAAACGGATGAACGGAACGCGAGGCTTTTATAATAGGTGTATTTGGCATTATCCACTAGAGGGCGAATGCTGGTAAAGTATGGTTTAAAAATGCGCCATAACTCAAAACTCTAACAGGCAATCTTCCTTTGATAGCAAGCAAAACAGTTCAACATTTATAAAATGGCACACATTTAAGTCACGCTCATTTTACCATAGTACATACAACGTAAAGTAATTTAGTCAATATAGTCATATTGAGGTCAAATAAATGTTGTGTCGTTTATAAAAAAAAATTTAAGCCACCACAAATCTATGAATATGGAATCTCGACAAAACAAAAATCCCATTAAAAGTCCACCCCACACTCTCTCCCGCATTCAGAATTTTGATCTGGAAGCCACATTCACTTCCAAGTTGTGGTAATTTTTTGTTGGTGGGGCTTTGGTGGGGCTGCTGGATCAAAAGTGCCTAAACTTAGCCAGAAATTCCCATTGTCGGTGCATGTCCATCACCCATCCATCACCCATCCATCACCAATCCTGCTCTAATAGCTCCACATTGACCTTCTTCTGGAACTGGTTTGGTTGTTTCGTTCCCATGTTGACCAACACAATGGGATGTTTTAGACACGCAGCCATCATTTTGCAGTGGCATTTTCTTGAACAAGAGAATCATACCAAGGGTGGCTGTTGTATAAAACAAGTGATATGATACGTTTACCAAATATATAGTTATTTATTTACATATCTTACTTGGATGATTCCTTGGAGATGGACCAACTCGTTTGCAAGGATATTCAGGCTTAGGGATAGGGCTTCCACATGTGTCGGCCTTCACAGGTGCTCGCTCACAGCACTTGCCCCAAAACGTCTGTTCAGGCTATAGCAGTATCTTCGTCTTTGTAGTGTGCAGGCCGTGAACTCGGGGAGGGGGGGGGGGGGGTCATATAACAGACTAATAGAGAAGCAAGGTCATTGTCGCAGGCAGCAGTGGTGGCGCACACCCAGGATCCGGTACTTTGGATGAGAGCTTGGTGGATCATGAAGAGGTCATCATCTATCTGAGACACCAATGAGTAGCTCAGTGCATGGCAGTACAGCGGACTTTCGAGTGCTATCTCGTCATGTCTGTGGTGTTTCCCTGGGCACTCTGGTGTCTTTGCCACGTGATGAAGTCAAAGCTCGAGAGGCCTTCTTGCTGAAACACAACAGGGTTGGCAATCATCACCATAGGAGGCCCTGAGCCAATAATGTAAATTCCACATTCCTATGGCCGGTGGACAGTCTATCCATACGACAACTGCTGCTGTGCCACAAAGTGGCACTCTGGATGACTGATTATACTCGCGATTAGATGATACTCGCGATTAAATTGTCCAAACATCACGTGGCAGGACCCTCATTCAAGTGAGTCTTGAGACTGTCCTCTACGCTTTCCAGCACAGAGGGCCAATTATACCTCCACAAACGATGCTGGGGAAGTGAATCAGAAATCCAGGTGACTATGATGATGACGACGACGACAACGGTGATGATAGCGACGACGATGATAATACTAACACAAACATACATTTAAAAATAAAACCACATGAAATGAGACGGTGTCACCAGGTTCACTCCGGCAGCTGGGAAGGGCCGAGCGTGGCAGTTGCGTGCGTGATTTTACCGAAGCGAGACGGGCAGTTTGTCGCATCGTGCAATAGCTCAATCCTGTTGCACGATTGCATCAGATGTCGCTGAAGCATGGGCGTGCCCGGTTAGACTCCCGTGTTCGCGAGACGCCCCCCCCCCCCGCGGCTCTGTGCGCTGCGTGACAGGTGGCTGGGTTCTTCACACCCACCCTTTGCCGCTCACCTGGAGCTAAAATCGTAAAACACACAAACCCACATCACCCCGTCCGTCTCCTGCGACCGCTGCACGCCCGTCTGCCCGCGTGATTGATATATTGCTAAAATTATAATAGTAATCAATCCAGCTGCAATGCAGTTGGGATTCGCGTGGATTATAGATGCAAAATGCGTTTCAAGACGTCGTACCAAAAGGGCATCGCGGGGCGAACAGTGGAGGCACACACGCACATACACAAGAATAGTGTAATAATACTTTGTATCATTTCTCCATCCACTACTGGATGCAGGAGAATAGATCATTCGAGTTTACCCATGTCTCATTGGGAAAAGTTAGTAATTAGACTTTGTTCAAGGCAAGATTTTGGCAATATTAATTATCAGTATTTGTCAGATATGTGAGAACCATTACAATACAATAAAAAAAAACTTGCAACGTGTGCTAAATTGTATATCGACAGTTCATATATTTATATTTTTAGTTTTTCGTGCCAGATCCAATGTTGAAGAACCATCTGGTGTCATCTACTCCTGGAATCTCCAACCTGTCATCTCTGTGTGCTCCCTTAAACAGACCCTGGCTGAGATCTCAAAGCATTAAGTGTGAATGTAGATAATTGTGGAAATATTTTAGTTGAAGTTAATGTTGTTGTAATCTTATTTGCCAAATAAATAATTTCAAGTATTCTCAGAATGCATCAGGCATTCCTCCTCTAAGTCCTATTTTGTTTATTACCTATCTATTACTTAGCTATTTTTGTTCATGACAACGTTAAATATGCCAATACAAAATAGCTATTTCAACATGCAAATATATAGGTAGAATAGAACACGGCAATCCCATTCATACAAAATATATGCAATTGAATATTTGTCTTCTTGGTTCTTTCGGTAAAGTCACGTAGAAGGGAAGTAATAAAATAATAAAAATAAAACATAATAAAATAATTCTCACGACGTTTCGGCCACAACGCAAGCAGCCGTCCTCAGGTGAAAACCAGGTCTGTCGAGGCGACAGCGTCACCTGAGGACGGCTGCTTGCGTTGTGGCCGAAACGTCGTGAGAATTATTTTATTATGATTTATTTTTATTATTTTATTACTTCCCTTCTACGTGGCTTTACTGAAAGAACCAAGAAGCTGAATCCCTGCTGCAGTCACGAAAGCTTTACATCGAAATTGAAGATTTGTCCTCTAACTTGCCTTGTTTACAGTCACCGGTAACTCTACTCTCATTGTGGGCTACATGGCTGGTGGCTGGATAGTTTACTGAGTGGCTGACTGAGTAATTTGAAAGAAGCTTTACATCGAAATTGAAGATTTGTCCTCTAACTTGCCTTGTTTACAGTCACCGGTAACTCTACTCTCATTGTGGGCCACATGGCTGGTGGCTGGATAGTTTACTGAGTGGCTGACTGAGTGATTTGACTGGCTGTGCAATTGGCTAAGTGGCCGGCTGGCTGGCTCAGTGGATGGGTGGCTGGTTGCTGGCTCAGTGGATGGGTGGCTGGTTGGCTAAACAGCTGGTGGAGTAATTGAACGACTGGCTGGTTGGATGAATGGCTAGCTGAATGACTGGGTAGCTGGC